CCATATACTTCTCGCAGTTGGTTGAAAGGTGTGTGGATCTGTACATGTTTAAGATAATGATGGTCTACCCTACCGTAACCAACAACTGTAGATTATCACCATCTAACCTTCAATGCCAGGAGAAATAAGACCATGAAGGTGTCTCCACTCACCAAAAGTGCTAGAGGGCTCCTGCCACTTTTAATTAGATTCCTGAATAGAGCATCTTTCAGTGGATTTCCTATACTAGGCATTTTCCCCCGAACTTTTAAGAAAGCCTTCCTGTCTAACTATCCTCAGGCTCTAGCTTAATGTGATTTAAATTACATGGACGAGGGATATCTCTGGCTGGAGTTATGGGGTAGAGTTCCAGCTGTAGGATAGTTTAACATTCAAAGAATTCAAGCAGTAGCCTAATTTTCACTCCATTAACACTGAGTTAAGTAGTCTGCGAATCTACACAATGCCTGGCATATAGTTGGTGCTCGAAAACGTGTTAAGCAAACGGTTAATGGCTGATTCAATAAATCATAATACGGTACATGTGTAACAACCTAGCACAAATTCCTGACCCCAGGCACTGCTTTCCTAATTGTAATGGCACAGAAATCCTTTAGAATGTACTATTCTATTCTTCAGAAGTCCTGAAAAAAATGATATGACAAAAGGAAATAAAAATCTTCCAGTTAAGCTAGGAAGAAGCAGCATGCCCATCTGATAGCAATATAGCTAAGACGCTACTAATGAGGTAAGGAAAGATGGGAAATTTAGAACTACAAAAAACAATAATAATAACAATAATAACTAATAATGATAACAAAACAACCACTTAAGAAGTTTCAGCAGCAATGAGTATTTTATTATTTTGAATGAAATATACATTAAACTTTTATATAAAAATCACCAAAAGTGCTACATTGGATTATTTTAACATTAATTTAACCCCCCCCCCATGTTATCTAGTAGCTATACCGTTTAGCTATACATTTCACTTTTCTTTTTACTTCTGACACATCATTACAATAATCTAAAACTGTCCAAGGTTAAAATATAAAAAAATATTAGTTTATTCTTCCAGGAAAAGTACCACCAGTGATGAGTTACTGAAAGCGAAACATAAAAACAAACACCAGAGAATCGACTTACTGAAAAAAACAATTATCACAGAATTTTGTAGAAGGATGTAAAGTCCAAGGCAATTTAGACCTTCTGATGATACAACTTCTTAAGGGTACGGGTTATTTTTTTTTGGAGGCAGGTCTCTGGTGTGTCAAGACTGTCTGATGATTATCTTTTCTTGGCCACTTTCCAAGGTTAACCAAATGTTGCCTAATGCTGTGCATCTCCCATGCCCCCACTCCCCACAAATGTTCAGTGTCGAGAGAAAGCTAACTTTTCAGTCTTAAAAACAGCCCTTAGGATTAAGTTTGTCATTAAAGTAGACACAAGTCAATCTACAGAAGGGAGAACCCCCTTGATCTCCCAACCTCCCAACCCAAACCCCATTCTGCTAGTCCACTCCAGTGCCAAGTCCATTCTCTCACAGGCTGGTTCGGGTGAATTGGCTGCCAGAGTTAGAGCAGGTTGGTCAGCCCACACATTCCATGTGGTCTCACTTATCTTAAGCAAACAAGCTTCTCTGATTTGCCACGAGAGCCGTCTGACTCTCCCGTCTCTTGGCTTTCTTGCTCCTCTGTCTCACCTTCCAGCACAAGGCACTGGAGGCTAACAAAAAAAGTCCAAACGACAGGAGGACCAGGCCAAAGATGGAGATGATGGAGCCGTGAGAATTGAAGCTGTAAGCCACAGCGGTGACCACCATGCCCGCGATGAGGACCACTACGGCGAAGGGGATGATACAGCGGTAGCAGGAGAGCTCAGCACCCCCCGTAGTGGCCATCAGCTGAATCTCACTGACCAAGGGGACCGCGGTGACCACCACTTCACTGTTGGGGCTTTTCTCCATTGCCACTGGCTTGGGAGGCTTTGGGGTTCCCAGGATCTCCTTTATGGGCTCCTCAGTCATTTTTCACAGCAGTTTCCTAGCTGGATTCAGAGACTAGATCTGGAGGGCCTCACCAGGCTGAAAGCTGCAGAGAAGAAGGCAGAGATATCAGCCAAGTGCATCAGGGTAAACACTGCAGGGAGAAGTAAAAACGCTTACCTTTGTGTCGACTCCGAATCATGACAATCCCATGTGTGTCAGAGTAGAACTGTGCTCTATAGGGTTTTTAATGACTGATTTTTTGGAACTGGAACACCAGGCCTTTCTTCTGAGGTGCCTTTGGGAGGATTCCAACTTTTCCGTTAGCAGCAGAGTATGTCAACCATTTGCACCACCCAGGGACTCCTAAACTAACTGCTATGGAATCGACCCTGGCTCATGGCGACCCCATGGGCTGGGGAAACACCAATATGTTCTCTTCCAAAAGGCATGGATGCATGTGAAAATCAGCTTTTATTTATTTATCTTCTAATTGGTTGCATTCTTTTTGCATTGGGCAAAAAGCAAGATAAGCTGATAAACATAAAGGGAAGATATAAAAACCAGGAAGTACTTTACAATGTTGAATATACCCTTGCGGTCTGCAAATGTTTTACAAGCTCTTCCACTTTGTCTAATGCTTCTCTTTCTGCTAAACACACAGAAGAGCTTGAATCCCAATCCAAAGACAGCCTCGTTCAAGAGGAGAACATGCTATAAACAATACTTTGGATAGTTAGCTCCACATCTCCTAGCAACTTAGACTCTGCCAATGTTGCCGTGCATAACCTACATTCTTTCCCAACTTTCACCCATTCACTGCCCATGAAATCAATGTCAAGACGAGCAGCCAGTGTACCAATGACGTTCTTCTCCATTAACTGACAGCTAGTGTCTTTATTGTGTCGCTATTAAACACGGGCTAACATGTACCCTGGGATCTTTTTATCCCCCTAAAGGAGCAAGTGAGCAGTTCAGCAGACATTCAGTAACAACAAGGCTAGGATTTGTGATCTGAAATGGGGCAACATTCTGATTCATTTCGAAAGGGAAAAAGAAGAAAAGATGCAAGAGTTCAGTAGGATATAATTTTGTGCCTTCTTACGTTAAGATTTTATTAGCTTGAGTATTAGCTGCCAATTCATAAATTTTCTATTAAACTCAATAAAGAATTCTGATGTTCTGGGTACCAAAAAATAAGCATGCTACATTTTCAGTAAAATTTGACCAATTCATTCTCCCCTCCCCACACCCTCGTGCACAAAACTTGCTGTGATGCTCCTTTCCAAGTATTTGGAACCTGAAAATTTTACCATAAAACTTGAGGCTCTCAATCAAAAGCACCTGGCTGAAACGCTGTCTGTGAGAAATCAGCAAATGCTCTTACCTGCCCCTCACACATACAGATCACTCTCGTCTGCCCTCCAGACACGATCTAGCTGCTAAACACGCTGAGCGCTTGTAGTTACCGAGACAGTTTAAAGAAAGATACACGAGACCATTTCATTAGATTAATACTTCAAACATATTAAACATCCACTGCAAAACAAATTTAACCCCCAATCAAACCACACTGGTTCTTCCCTGCTCGGGGAGGTCAAAATACCACTCCCTGTGCAAGGAAACTAAATATTAGAACTGCCCGTTTGCACAGAATTTTTAATCATTGCTGTTGAATGATACCCTAAATACTTTGCGAGGCCAATAAAAGCCTGTTGGAGGTTATGTCTGAAAAAGAATCTTCACCCCAAAACTAAGACTTGGTCTAACCTGAAAGCGAAGCTTCGGTCCCCGCACTACTTACGCGTACCTCAGAGAGGCAATCCATTACCAAGGAAACCACTTGACTTAGCAGGGAAAAAACCGCTGGGAAAAAAGCCTGCAACAGCGCTTCTGCCAATAAAATGACAGGATAGGGATCTCCTCTGGGGAAAAGAAAAGAGAAAAATACTTTATGCTTTGGTTTTGGATCCTGGAGCGCTGTCTTCTTCCACCCTACCTCTGTTTCTAAATGACGCTTGTCTTCTCCTCCCTCTCTCTATTTATTCCCTCCCCCTCCGGTTTGTCCCTCCCTGTCATTTTTTTTCCCCCTTCGTACTTTCCCTTGCCAGCAGATGTCGAGTTTTGGCTTCCCTAGCTCTGCTCGGTGACATGATAAGTCAGGATCATTCTAGTGTCTGCAGAGATGGGACCCAGCTTTTACTTTTCTTTTTCTTGCAGCATTGACTAAGCAGACTGCTTTGTATTACTCATTTTTCCCCAGCCAACCTACAGATCTTCCTCCCGCCCATCAGGCATTTTCAGAAGAAAATCTCCGAGTCAGCGCTGCAGACCCAGCTGAGGGGACCGAGCTGACGGACAGACACACTCCAGGGCAGCAGGAACAGCTGTGAAGTCATCAGGCAGTGGAACGCAGCCTCTAAGCCAGCAAAAAATCCATGTTCCTCGGTTTTCCCAGTATTCTTTATTTATGTTTGTGTGATGGTCATCTGAAGCTTAAAAACCCAGGGTTTGATGTTACTTTGTTTAGGAATGAGTGTGGGAGATGCGAATGTTTGCCGTGAAGGGCGAAAACCAGTCATCTTCGTTTAAAAACGATTGCTTGCTACTTGTGTTAGGAAGTGAGTAACTTTGGCAATGCTGGAATCATCATCATCATCGCTACCATTTACAGAGTACCTACTATGGGCATGGTACAATACTAAGCACTGCACGTGCATCAACATTAATTCTCACTGGTTTATAAAGAAGGGAATGGAAGCTCAGAGAGGTTAAGTAACCTGACAAAGATCATACAGCAAGAGAGAAACCCTAGGTTTGAACTCCAGTCTCCAATGGGCACAGGAATCGCCTGGGGAGCTTGTTAAATGTAGATTCTGGTCCAGTAGGCCTGTCACAAGCTCCCAGGTGATGCTGATCCTGCTGCTCCTTTGAGGAGAGAGGTATTTCAAACTTTCTAACATACATGATGTGACACATCACACTCTCAAACAGTAAAGCTGAAGTTCCATTCCCTACCACCCACAATGGCCTTATAGGTTTACGCTTCTAACAGACAAGCTGGTTGAAATTCTAAAGTACTTGAAATGCACAAATACACACATAATGAAATTTTAAAGTACCTGAAGTGCATAAAGACATTAATAATCTTTTTGAGAAAAAAATGAAGATAATACTGGGACACTATTCTAAGTTCCTCCCCATGCTTCCGACGTCGCCATGAGTTGGAAGGGACTCAACAGCAGTTAGTTACTGGTTACAAGTTTGTAGCTAAAACTCACCCCTCCCCCCGCTTTTAAAATCTGTACAAGTTGTAGTAATCCCTTTTAATTAATGCAGCAAATCTATGAATCCAAATTAAGTATTGGAGGAGCTGATTGTTTTTCTCCCTCTCATATTGTTAGATTTCTCTGATCGCTGGTGGTAGGCTCAATGTTCTCAGACATCTCCCCTCTGTTCTGCAATAATCCACTCTTTCCAACCTTGTCTAGTGATAATACGCTGATGATTTTGTCACAAAGGGAGAGGGAACAGAAGTCCTTTTTCTTGAGTGGAAGGCATACAGAGGGCTTCTTCAATCTGAAAAATGAAGTTGAAAGTTTGGGAATCCCAGCTGCTGAGGGTGGTGGGTGTCTGGAGAACCTCAGCCGCCATGATCCTCACGTTTCAAATGTGAGAACTAAAGAGCCGTCCATCCCTGAGGAGTGCTGTCACTTGGGGTTGAAGATCCGGGATACTCAGAACCAGGATATTTCAGCATTTGCCAACATTGTCCTGGGAAGATGGTTATGTTGGGGGCCACTGACGGCATAAACTGGAGGGCCTTGAGAGGCTCCTTGAAGGAGCAGCAGTCCTCCACCCCGAGCTGTGGCCTTTGGAAGCAATTCTGCTCTGCTTCCTGGGCATGGGCCATTTTTCCCAAAATGAAACGTCATGATCCCACTCAAATTCTGTATATCACCTTATCCTGTTGAAGAGTATGTACGTTTCCCTATTACCAAAGCCAGAGTTACATGAATCAACTTTTGTCCCGAGGGAGGCAAGAGGCACTTTTCTGTATGGTGTGCGCTTGGCTGAATGAGGGACGTTGTAGACCCCTGATTTATGGAAACCCTTGTGGCCTAGTGGTTAACCGCTACCGCTGCTAACCAAAAGGTCTGCAGTTTGAATCCACCAGGCGCTCCCCGGAAACTCTACGGGGCAGTTCTACTCTGTCCTATAGGGTCGTTATGGTTGAAATTGACTCGACGGCAATGGGTTTTTTATATGTGCAGAGTAGACCTGCTCCACAGGGTTTTCTTGGCTGTAATCTTTAGGAAGCAGTTCACAAGGCCTATTTTTCCGTGGAGCCTCTGGGTGGGTTCCAACCATTCACCTTTGGGTTAGTCGCCAATGACAAACCGCGTGCACCACCCGGGCGCCTTACAAAGCTTTCCCCAGCGTTCTCAGGGTCCTCGTTTCCCCCCGTTTTTCTTTCATAGCGTTTGAGAATCTGCCTAGATACACAGATACATGTCTCTAGACTATGAGCAGACGATTGATTAGAAATAAATTCAAAAAAGTAAAAAGCGTTGGGATAATCCAGAAACTGTACCAGAAAAATAGATACCTGTCACTATACCACGGAGCCCTGGTGGCACAGTGGTTAAGCACCGGACTGCTCACCTAAAGGTCAGCGGTTAGCACCTACCAGCCACTCTGCGGGATAAAGATATGGCAGTCTGCTTCTGTAAAGATTTACAGCCTTGGAAACCCTATGGGCAGTTCTACTCTGTCTTACAGGGTTGCTATGAGCCAGAATTGACTCAATAGCCATGGGTTTTGGGATCACTATACCCACTGAGGAAACCCTGGTGGCGTAATGGTTAAGAGATTGGCTGCTAACTAAAAGGTTGGCAGTTTGAATCCAGACAGGGGCTCCTTAGAAACCCTACGGGGCAGTACTATTCGGAATCCATTCCAAGCCAACGGGATTTTTTTTTTTTTTTTGAGTTTTATACCCACTGACATGCAGCTTTAACTGACTTTACCTCTTCAAATTG